TCAAATGCCGCTTGCGGCTTTAATTTGGATTTGTTCTGATTTGTGCTCTTGAATAGAGATCGTGGTCTCCCTTTGGGCATCTGCCTTTAAATTTTGTCTTGTTTTCTTTCGGCTAGATTCTTTGGGTTAGATTAAAGGGTCAAGGGATTGAAGCTCTACAAATTTACCAAACATATCTTTCACTTCTCTAAAGCAGGCCGGTGGTATATACCTTCCTACTTGTATAAAAACCTGAAAACTTCCTGTCTGTGACTTGTAAACAAGATTTAAAGTATTCAACATGCATTCATGTAACATGTATTTTGGGGGAAGATTTCCAACAGATGTGAGAAAATAAAAACTCTGAACAGGAGCCAGTTAGTTGAAGGTTTCATCATTGGATCAATGTAATGTTCTAAACATCAAATCAGACTGAATTTGGCTGAAAGGCTGAACGCTGAGCAATTTAATGAGCTTTAAAATCCATTAGCAAGAACTTTTTTTTTGTCAAAAACAGTCCTGATGTGAAAGTTTGAGCTGCACCATCACTCCTCAGTAATGATCATAACTAATAACTGCTGATTTGCCTTCACTCATTAACAACATTAAAATCTTCTCTAATGGCTCGTGGATGACAGATAAACTAAAGGATTAATTATTGGTGATGTGATCAGTAACTGGATTCACATCACATCAGTTTAATTATCTTTATAGCTCTCCCTTCCCTCAGTATATTAGTGCAACATTTCTCTCTTGTAGAATGTGTCTTTCTGTTACACATAGAACATTTCATATTGCTCGTTAGGCTCAGGGAAGGTGGTTTGATATCACACTCACACAGAAACCTGATATCTGATCATACAGTTCTGTTCAGGAAGCTTCGGTCTTTCAGTTTCACAGACTCACCTGACGAACATGATGATGCCCACCCTGCTGATGTCCTCCTGGATCTCCCTCCAGCTCTGCCTGATCACCTGCCGGCTCTCCGCGCTCAGACTCACCTGGCTCGCATCATCATCATCCTCCTTAATTGGCCGCACGGAGCCCGGAGCCACCGCGGAGAGCCAGCAGCCCATCACGGTCCTCAAAAGCACCGGAAAACACCGCGGAGCTTGAGCTCAAACACGCCGAAAACAGCGCTTCAAAGTCGGCAGAGAGTCAGTCACAGCCGCTTCGACTCCCACAAAAGTTGAGCTGCTGCGGTCTGATCAGAGCGAGCACACACACACACACACACACACACACACACACACTGTAGGTGTTCATCTGCATTCATACAACTACCTGCTGATCATCTGAACAGAGAGTGAATCTCAAGCTGTTGTGATGACCAGACAACCATTAGACGTTTTCTGTCTGATCTGAAGCTTTTTCTCTCTCTACAGGATCAAGGGCAGATGTAGGGGTGCCCCCCCCCCAACAAAAACAGAAAAAAAGATTATGTCAAATGTCTGAACCTTGCTTTGGCCTCCAAACATGATCAATACATTAGTCACATGTAGCAGTAGAACTGAAGTTAGATCCATCTACTATTTTGGCAGAACACCTTTGCAAAACCCATTTTCTCTGCAGCCTTTCAACAGCACAACCATCTACAACTAACTAGTTCTATCCAATCAGTGCTCACACTATAAACTACAAACACACAAGTAGTTTTCAGGACAAGTTTGCAGCTTGTGATGCTAGAAAGGTCTCTCCAGGAAAACGCTGGCCTCAGCTGCTGTGGTTGCAATAAAGCAAGAAATAGCCACAACTTCAAAAAGCTAATTCAGACTCTGAAAGTCTTTTTTGTCCCGAATCAGAACCACTTCAGTTGTTCTGTGCAACATATAACATAGAAACGTGAAAGATTTCAATCATTTGATTCTTATTCATTCAGGCAGATAAAACATAGCTTCTGATTTTGTAAATGACTGAAGCATTTTCAAAAATGTTTGTGATTTTGGATACTTTGAAAAGCTCACAGCAGCATGATTTGATGAAGAGCTGTAGGTCAGTGTAAGAAGAACAACACATTTAATGGTTAAATTGATTTAATAGAAACTTTAGATGATGTATATCAGTTGCATTATCTATGTTTTTAGCACAAGCAGTTATACAAACATACAAAAGTGACGAAATGAACCAACAAGATTTTATAAAAGCAGTCAGTCAATAAGTCCATCAACATATTCATATTCTGGATGTTTCATATTTTTCCTGCTGCTCACGTCCCACAATCCTTTCAAACTATATCCTTCAGTCATCTGAAGATCTGTGTTTACTTTCATGTTGGAATCTTCATCTTTTCTCCTCTTTTGTTTGTTCACTCTGTCCAGGTCTGACTCCGCCTCTCTTACATGGGGGTGTGGCCATTTGTATATTGACCACGCCCCCCCACCCCTAATCACAGGGACCTTTGAAAAATATTGGCTGAAAATAAAGGTGCCACTCCAGTCAGTAGGGTTTAAACTCCATCCATCACCTGTTCCTGTGGCTCCTCCTCTTCTACAGGTCCACCTGGAAAAAAATCACCTGTTGATGTCACACCGGACAGGTACAACCATAACACCTTGACTTACTATGGTGGAATGTCTTTAGAAAGCCTATATTATACTTATTATTTGTGCAAAATTTTATTTTAGGGGTGTGCTACAATATGTTTATGTTCTTCAATGTTCAAAAACACATTATGTTTTGTTCATACTGTACATTGCTGCAACATCTCTTCTTACTCTGTCTGAAATGCTCTGTTTTAATTCCTGTCTCTTTAAGGCCGCCCTCCAGAAAAGGCCAATCTTCTCTGATTCGTCAGCTGGACCAACGAAAGCCAGGTAATATTAGTTACGTACTGTCACATTCTCGGTATAGACATGAAGATGTAGTCTTAGATAATGAGGTAGAGGTCGCTGCTCAGTCTTTGTTTGATCAAAGTAGCTGCCAGGAAGGTTTTATGCAAATAGTGACATGGATAAGGAACGGGAAAAAATCCTGGACTTCAAACAAGGCATTACAGTTAGGTAAGAAGAAGTGTAGTCTGTTTGAGAGAAGAACCTGTGGACATGGTGTGGACTGTAGATTCAGTAAATTCCTTCAAACACTGAAAAGTTCAAGGAAACAACCAAAACAGTATGAAATGTAAGATGTGTGCTCTTTAACATGTTTGTTGTGATGACTTCACCTGTCACCTGGCTGTGTTCCTCTGTGGCGTCACTGCTGACATCATCCGGGGGCCATCGGAGCTCTCCACTCTCCACATCGTCTCCATCCGTTGGCTCCACAACGATGGACGGGACACGCCTGGAAAGTTTTGGAATACGATCTGCTGATTCTGGAAACACCTGCAGAGGAGGATGAGTGGAGCAGTCAGATGGTCTCACTCGTTGGTGTACCTGACCTGACCTCAGTTGTTTGTCTGAGTTTTGTTTCTATGCAGATGATTAAGTTCTGTTCAAAAGGTGACAGGAAATATGCTCAAGGAAGAAATACTGAGTAGTGAAGTGATGACCAGAGGATGGCAGATGGCCACATCTGACTTGGTTTACAGGGAACAGGTTTTTAAATAGCTGTGGTGGAATTACAAAAAGAGGCAAAATCTCATAACCTCCCCAAGTGTACTCCACCTAAATCTATATATTAACCCCAAAAATTTGATGTACATCCTAAAGAAAATAAAACATGTGGCTGTGATATCGCCGACAATCGACTGCCCACTGTTACACAGTAAGATGCATTATTGCATATCTGATTGCAATAAAAATGACCTTTTATATGGTTAAAGAGGTCACCAGAGCTAAAATAATTCAGCTGTTAGCAACATGTGTTGCTACTGAAGCAGCTAACGGGTGGTAAAAGAAGAGATTTAACTTTAACCCTTTATAGGACACTCCTTGAAATACTTGGAAAATGAAAATTTCAACCCTAGGGTGTTGTTGAAGGAGATATTTTTACTTTTGTGACTTAAAAAAATGTTGCAAATCAAGAATCATAAAGCTACCATATATGGTCCAGGGAAGTTACCAAATCAAACATCAAATCAAAATCAAATCAGGTTTATTGTCATTTTGCTATACACACAGTAGTACAGGCAAGATGAGAGAGCGTTTCTTCAGGATTATTCAACCAGCAAGTTTTGTGGAATGCATGTCTGGGATAAGTCACTAAACGTTCACTCTCGCTGCCTCCTGAAAGGGGCCGCTGTGTCCATGCGCGCCGCCATTCAAATATGGTCACTTGCCCCATAAAGGGTTAAAGAATAAAACTTGTATTTGGTTGAAGGATGTTGACTATATTTTGAACATGTAGCTCTCTTTGCAAGATCTGCTGATGGATTTAAAGGTGGTCAGACACTGTGTTATACAATATATACTGCATATATACTGTATATATTGTGTACGGTACTGTTTTATATGCAGTATACATACAGTGTGTGCTGTAGGCTGCACTGTTATATGTGCTGTGTGCATGTTGTTACAGAGAGCTGCCACCATGGAAGCTAAGCCTACTGTCACCTTCAACCACTACTCATCTCTAGTAAAGTCCTACCTGGAAAGACACGTTGTCCTCTCCAGACGCTCCGCCCACCACAGAGTCACAGGTATGAATCACCTTGTTCGTCATCTTAGCCAATCAGCACGTGGAGACAGAAAGGAGGCAGCAAGCTGAGAGGAGACAGAATAAAATCACAAAGCAGCAGGGGTCAGTCTGTCAGCTGCTGAGATCTGCATCGGTCAGCACACTGTTAAATATATTTCAGTGTGTTGTAAGCTGACCCCATCTTCAACATCTAAACATCTTATCACCTGTGAAAATATCGAAACTTAATGAAGTGAGATCAGCTTTAAGCAGATCTGTCTTTACGTTGCTGCTTATCCAAACTCAGTCCACCACCCTCTTGTTTGTTACTTTGAGGAAATTATTTTCATGTCAAATCAGTCGTCTGGATGTTGTGAAGGACAAATCAAGCCTGTGTGTCTTCATGCTGCGTCGCCGTGGCAACCGACAGGCTACCAACACTAACGCATGCAAACAACCTCACATGCTCCTGTTTCTGTGCAGCTCTGGAGCGTGTGTGTGTGTGCGTGTGTGTGTGTGTGTGTTTGTGGTCTTCTTGGACACGCTTTAAAATTAACCGTCATGGAAACTTGGGTTCAGAATTTCTGCCACAAAGGAGCTGAACTGGAAAATAGCATCCTGAAGACAAGTAAAGTTCACAAAGTGCAGAAGCTCATACTATCTGATGTTAGATCAGATTAAACTTTCTCTGTTTTAGGTCTTTCTAGGTTTTAGGATTACCATTATTTAGATTTGCTAAACGCCAGAGTAATGAGAGAGAATTTTTTTTTTTTTATTACTTTCTTCAAACTCAAAAGTTTACATACATTTCCTTAGTATTTGGTAGTATTGCTGTATGACTTGGGTCACATATTTGGGTTTCCTTCCACAAGCTTCTCACAATACTTTGATGAATTCTGGCCCATTCCTCCTGACGGAACTGATGTAACAGAGTCAAGTTTGTTTGCTCGCACACACCTTTTCAGCTCTGCCCATAAATCTTCTACGGGATTGAGATCAGGGCTTTGTGATGGCTACTTTAAAACAGTGACTTTGTTGTCCTGAAGCCCCTTTGTAACTAATATGGCGGTATTCTTAGCGTCATTGTCCATTTGAAGACCCATTAGTGCCCAAGCTTTAACTTCCTGGCTGATGTCTTGAGACGTTGCTTCAATATTTCCACATAATGTTCTTTCCTCATGAGGCCATCTATTCTGTGAAGTGCACCAGTCCCTCCTGCAGTAAAACAGCCCCACAACATGATGCTGCCACCCCCGTGCTTCACAGTTGGGATGGTGTTCTCAGGCTTCAAGCGTCCCCCTTTTTCCTCCAAATGTAACGATGGTCATTAAGGCCAAACAGTTCAGTTTTAGTTTCATCAGACCACAGGACATGTCTCCAGATATTAAGGTCTTTGTCCCTGTGTGCATTTACAAACTGTAATCTGTCTTTTTAATGTTTCTTCTGGAGTAATGTCTTCTTCCTCTCTGAGTATCCTTTCAGCCCATGTCGGTACAGGACTGGTTTCACTGTGGATAATGACTCTCTGACCAGCTTCAGCAGCATCTTCACAAGGTCTTTAGCTTTTGTTCTGGGGTTGATACGCACATTTCTCACCAAAACACTTCATCTCTGGGACACAGAACTCGTCTCCTTCCTGAGCGGTATCATGGCTGGACATTCCCATGGTGTTTATAGTCGTGCATAATTGTTTGAACAGATGAACGTGGAACCTTCAGGCATCTGGAAATTGTACCCAAGGATGAACCAGACTTGTGGAGGTCCACAGTCCTCCTCCTGATATCTTGGCTGATTTCTTCAGAAGCAGTGTGTTTGAGGTGAGCCTTAAAATACATCCACAGGTGTGCCTCCAGTTAACTCACATGTTATCAATGAACCTATCAAAAGCTTCCAAACCCATGACATCATCATCTGGGCTTTCCAAAATAGTTTAAAGGCATAGTTATCTTATTGCATATAGACTTCTGACTTTTAAGAAAGTAATACAAAATTCAAATAAATAAATAAAATTCTCTCATTATTCTGACATTTAGCAAATATAAATAATTTCAGTAATCCTAACTGACCTAAAACAGGAAAAGTTTAGTCTGATTTAATGTCAGACAGTGAGAGAGAAAAAAGGGTATATTTCTTTTTATACAGCATATGTAAACTTCTGGTTTCAACTTTATAACAAACAAACAAACATACAGATATAAATAAAAATGTGAAGGATTTCTACACAGCTGATACGACAAACCAATGACACCTAAAACTGTGAAACACCAGTAGAACCAGAAAAATTGCACAGACTGTTTCTGGAGCAGCTGAGTTTGTACTCAAAGATGTATTAAGGATTCATGGGAGTGTTTTCGTGGCCCCGGTGAAACCCGAAATCTTTTCCTCCAGCAGAGGTCACTCTCAGGTCTGGGTCTGATGTGGACTCAAGAATCAAGAAGAACTAGAGTCAGACAGCTGAGATACGATTAAACTGGTAAGCTAAACCTTTGGAAACTCCTGGATTATTTAACACCAGTAATGAGCTCTTTTTTCCAGCAGACGACTGGAACCTGAACACATCCCAGCTGACGTGTCACCATGACAACTGGCATGTTATTACACTTATCAGCCATAAAAGTTATTCTTCAGAATGATCCTGAAACTGTGTAAAGCCCAGACTCCCAGGAGTCACACATGTTTATCACTGAGTAATATTCCTTTTCTTGGGTCGACCACCATCACTGAGCTCTCAGACACACAAAGAGGCAAACACATGAAAACACACATGAGGACAAAGAGACACAAACAGCCTCTGATGGACTGAAGACCATGAAGGAGACACATGTTTGAATTAAAAGGTGGAATCAGATAAAAATCAGTCAGCAGGTGAAGACAAACCAACTGCATGCAAACATTTCAACAGAGACAGAAACAGGTGACCCACCTGATGGTGATGATGATGAGGATGATGAGGATGATGGTAAAGATGCAGTAACTGATTCTAATGTTCAATCCTCAGAGTCCTTACATGAAGCTTGTTGCTGATCTGACAGACGACTCTGCTGCTCTCAATTCAAATTCAGGTGTCACTTCCTTTGTGTGTCTGTGTGTGTGTGTGTGTGTGTGTGTGTGTGTGTGTAGGTGTGTGTGTGTGTGTGTGTGTGTGTGTAGGTGTGTGTGTTTGTGTATGTGTGTGTGTGCATGTGTTTTGCATGTCATCATGAGCTGACTCTCTCTGTGTGATTTGCTTGTCATTTGAACGTGGCCACAGTTTCACTCAGGATGAACCTGAAGTTGAAAGCAGAAGCCCTGCTGCTGCTGCTGCGGTTAACTGATGAATGAATGACTGATGAATGAATAATTGATGAATGAACTAATGTTGTTTTTATCTGGAGGTAACAGGCTGTAACGTTCAAGCAAATCACGGCGGTTTGTGGTTCAGAAGCTTCCCTTCATGTGTGAAGATCAAATCACTGATTTTGATTCCTCTTTGTCTGTTTGAATGCAGTTTGTCAGTTTTGATAGTGAACATATAGAAACGCTAGAAATGTGCTATTGTCATTTCAGTACTGATCCCATGTGACTCACAGTCCATAAACATGTGATCTTCAGAAAAATAATCATTAGGAGACGTTCGACAAATACTTGAATTGATCTAGAAGCAAAACTTAAACAAAACAAACTCATACATGAAAACACTTTGAGGGGAGTGACAGGTGAGATGGTCAGACAGGTAAGAAAGACTGGCTACATGATCAGACACGTGTGACAGATAGGTGAGAGAGGTGATCTTAACTTTCCATAGTTGCCAGCCTGCTGCAGGTGAAGTTGCCCCGCCCCTCTTGATCAGTAGCCCCGCCCCCTACCAACCACCACCTCCTCCATCTATTATTGATCAGAGCTGCATCACTTATTAACAGCTGATGATCCAGTTACAGAGTGACACCACACAGGTTTTCCAGCACTGCTGGCCTCTGATTGGCTACAAGTTACGCTGCAGGGGTACCATTTGCCCTGACACAGGTCTGACAGGCCGAGAGTCACCTGATGAAAGGTGCAGCTGTCACTGCAGGTCACAGTAGGTCGCATCAGGGGAAGATTATAGCCTCTGACTAGCGACCAGATTCACTTATTCTATTCATTTAAGGGTTCTGTCACCCAAACACTATTTCAACAAGTCATTTTAACAGCATTCAGACAGTGAAAATAAGATCTGACACAATAAATCAACGTTTACTGTAAAAGGAATGGAAAGAAGAAAAGCAGTGAGAAAAGGAGAGGAGGAGGAGGTGATGGAGGCTCAGTGTGAGTGGTCACAGTGATGCAGTGCAGTGAAACTCAAATAGAAAGTGAAAGTGTTTTCTAAGGAGGAGACAGAGGAAAAAGATGCTCTAATGCCAGCTGGTCTCTGCAGCAGCTAGTTCTCTATCGACTGGTCCACGGCTTTGCATGATCTGGATAGCGGCCCTGAAAATGTCCTTTCTGACTTCCAGGTTTCAGCAGAGGGGGAGAGGTAAGATCAGCATTACTCTCACATCATAGATTTACAGATACATCATGGACATCTGGCAAGTCAGGACACATTTAGTCTGACTCAGATTGCTCTCAGATGATCTCCACCCACCAACTAATAATCACAGCTGTTTAACCGGCGGAACAAATGACAAAAAAAAAAAAAAAAGTGTTTCTCCAGCCAAGAGAGGAGAGGCTTTCCTCCATGATGGAAAATTCCGTTTACTTATATTATACATTACATTATACATTTGATGTCTAAAATCACTCAAACAAGAGAAACTCGCAGTGATGTCAATGTACCTTAAAAATGAATATAATGGTGAACAAGGGATGAGGAGGAGGTGGGGGGCACTGTCTGGCTCTGTCACGTGGCTCCTCCTCCTCCTCCTCCTCCTTCTGGCACGCCTAACGCCGCCCCTCTCCTCCGGGTTGCTCCATCACAGAATCGAGCGTCCGGGAGATGAAAGGTAAGAAATCAGCTGCTGGATGTGGTTTTAACGCTAAACCTGCGCTTTGATGTGGGAGTTTTATCATCAGTAGTGATCTGTTTCTGTCTGTGACAAAGTACTGATCTGTGAAGAGGCAGTAAACTCGCTGCATTTCAGGTAAAAGTGTTTCAGGAAAATGTCCATTTGATCCTCCACAGGCTGAAGCTCTTCTCTTTAATAACTGTTTCTTTTCGTCTGAAGGAAAGCGCAGATGAACGACTGCTGTGTTTATTAAAGTGTGCTGAAGCTGCGCTGTTTGTGCTGCAGGGGGCGCCCTGCTCAACATCTGCTTCATGTTTACTAGAGAAAGTAAATAACAAACTTCCTCTTTTCCATCTGATCACTTTCTGTTCAGCCCTGCTCCTCTAAACTCCGAAGTCACTGTTAAAGCTTTGAGTGTTTCTCTGTAAAACTTGGACTGACACACTTAGATTCTTCACAGTGAGTTTTTAGATGTTCATGGTTTTCTTTCTGTAATATTCTCTCAGTCACTTTTCTCCACAGAACTGCTGCGTGTCTCACATACTAGACTCTAAATGTGCAGAACCCCTCCACCGTCCAGATGTGCTGGCTCAGTTCTCTGCAGCAGTGAAGAAATGTTTCATAGGGTTGCCAAACGAACAGCCAAAAGCTAAAGTTTGGAGATTTGAAAACTCTGTGAGGAGAGTTTCATTGATACCAGGTTTTCTGCTGCCACATTATGACGGTTACTTTATAGATTAGAAAGGTCACATGTTAGTACACATCCATCCACACAATAATCTTGTTGCTGTAGCCTAAATATCCTGATGTACTGTATAATCAAAGAAAAACCTCAATATTAAAATGTAAAAAATAGTTGACTATAGCAAAAGGACAACCTTTCACAGTGAAATAATATCCAGCTGTAATGGAGCTCAGGATTCAACTGTGTACCTAATGATTTAACTCTAGCATACAAACTGTGACTCCACGTCTGACAGCTCACCTCTCTGAGGCGTAGAAAAGTGCACAGTGTTATTTATCATTTAAACTTGATCAATCCTGTCTTCACGTTGCGTGTAATTTATTATTGTAAGTGCATAGTTGCACGGAGCTCTTTTATTTTGGAGATGCTGGAAGCAACAAACTAAACTTCAGCTCCTGTAAACATTATGAGGTCTGTTTATGTGCATCTGTCAACTGAAGACACGCAGACTTTTGTCTTTTGCTCTCTGTGATGCTTAGTGGCCGCACAGCCAGCTGCAGCTGCTCATTGCTGTTGCTGTCATCTGGTGCTGCTTTCAATTTCACTTTCACTGGATGCTGTAGATGCATTCACTAAAACTTGGACATCAGAGTTTTACTCGACCTATCAGATCTGGGGTGGTCAGTGAGGTTTCCTTCTTTTTGAGGCACCACTGTTTTGCAGAACACCAGCTGCACAAGTTCCTTTATTGTCTTACTGAGCATTGAGCTCATGAATGATGTCGAATGTTCAGCAGGGGGCACAGAGGAGAGCCGAGGAGGAGCCAGGAGGAGACTGCCCAAACTGAAGATCCCTGCAAAGATCTGGAAGAACCGCAAACAGCAGAACTATGATGAAGGTGAGAACCAGCAGAACCCTGTAAAGCGAGCAGAACATCACCAAGTCGGAACCAACAGAACATTATGACTAGAACTAAATGAGGCTCAAATACAACCAAGAAAACCCTTTTAAATCAAAACAAAGCTTAATGAGAACCAACATAACCAAAGCTAGAACCACCACAACTCAATTTTTAACATCAGAACTTAATTGAAGACAAGAAGAATTCTAGAGAGAACCTGCAAAACTAAAATTAGAACCAACAGAAAACTACATTTGAACTCATGAGATAAAAAAGCATGAGATCAAACTAACAAAACCTGTGGTAAAATCCAAATAAAGTCCTTGTTGATTTAAACCAACAGAACGTCAGGCACAACCAAAGAAACCACACACAGAGATGACCAAGAAAGCTGCCAGAACGACAATAGAACCAGTAGGAACCTCAGTTACAACATACAACACTATATGATCTAGAATTTCTTTAACACTACAGAACTTCAGAGGGTTTCGGTTCCAGTTTGTGGCTGCCCTGATAGTTAGAAACAGCTCAGTGTCACTGTGTTGTTTGTCTTGTAGACGATGAGCTGGACTGTGTGGTGGAGGTGCAGCAGGAGCAGGAGGAACAGCTGGAAGAGATCAGCAGGAGGCTGATCATCAGGGAGGATGAGCTCTTCAGTCAGGACGCTCCCAGTGAGGAGGAGGAGGAGGAGGACCAGCTGCAGAAAGACTTTGAGGATCTGAGACTCCAGATATGTATGGCCATCCACAACACCTTCACTCCCTCCTCTTCCTGTTCCTCTTCCTCCTCCTCCTCCACCAAGCATCTGGAGGTCCTGAGGAGCGCTGTGGCCTCCATCCAACAGCAGGAGGTGCAGGACAGACGCTGGGCCGACTGCTCACAGGACCGAGTCCCGGTGTGGCGTCCTCAGAAGTGTCTCAGTACTCACAACGCTCTGCTGCAGAACATGGTGGAGGACAGACTTACGAAGGCTGCAGAGGACGACTCAGGCGGAGTCGATAAACTGTCCTCAGCAGTGAAGAGACAGGTGAGTCACCGACCAGGACACATCAGGGACACAGAGTCCTCTGATTTGTGTTAACACTAATGTTTCTGCTACTGGAGGAGTCTGAATTGGATAAAACACTAGACAACTAGATACAGGTAGAGACTGACTTAAGCTTTTATTCATCGTAGTTCATGTTCAGTGCGTATAAAAAGGACTCTTGGGAAGTTTTCCTGTTGTATTGTTTTTCACCATTAAATCATAGTCAGTATAATTTGGCTTCTTTGACAAGAATTTACAAAAAAATGTAAAAGTCAAAGTAAGAACAGGTTTCCTCAAAGTAATGTCAATTAATAAAAATACAAAATGTAAAATAAGTGATTTCATAAATATTTACGCTCTTTAAAGTGATTCACCTAATTCAACACAGTTGCAGCCGATTGGTGCAAAACGTCACACAATTAGTGAACTGGATATTATCTGAGTACAAAATGTGTCTCGTGTTCATAGTATACAGACACTTGTGTCTGGAAGCAACTCCATGAAAGGTTTTACTGAAAAATCAGGGGGTGGATACAAGAAAATTTCCATTCCATGAAGCATGGTGGTGGCAGCATCATGATGTAGGGATGCTTCTCGACAGCAGGCCCCGGAAGGCTTGTAAAGGCAGGGGGTAAAATGAAAGCAGCACAGCACATCAAAATCCCAGAGGACAACCTGATGCAGGCTGCAAGATGATTGCAACTTGGGCGGTTTGTTTTCCAGCAAGACAACGACCCAAAGCATACAGCTGAAGCTACACAGAAATGGTTTGTAGACATCAAGGTGACTGTTCTGGATTGGTCGAGTCGGAGCCCAGACCTCAGACTTTAATCTAACTGAAAATTTGTGGCTGGACTTGAAAAGGGCTGTTTGCTTATGCTTCCTGTGTAACCTGACAAAGTTTGAGCAGCTTTGCAATGGCGAATAGGAAAAATTACAGTGTCCAGATGTGCAAGTCTAACTGAGACCTGATCAAACAGGCTCAGTACAAATATGCATCTACTAAATACTGACTTGAACGGGGCAAATACCTCTGCAATCAATTATTTGAATTTTTATTTTTAATTAATGGAAATCTTCTCTCCCTTTGACATGAAATAATCTTTGCTTGTAAACTGTTCTCAAAAAGCCTAATTAAACTGATCGTGATTCACAAGCAATAAAAGGGGAAAACTTCCAAGGGGGGTGAATACCTTTTAAGGCACTGTGCAAGTAACAGAGATAGATAGATTTGACAGATTTTAAAACACAAAACACTGACTTCACTCAGCACTCTGACTCTAAAACGTTGTTTCATTGATTTCCCTGTTTTATGGCTCATGCATCTGATCAGGTGTGTCGAATGGGGAAGTGTGTGAAGGAGGACCTGCTGTCGGTGGTGAGGACGGTGAAGGACTGTTACCCTCCACAGATGGATATTCTGAATGTCTACGCTGCACTCTATCATCGAAGTTTCTTTGCTCGGCTGACTGAACTCGCTACCTCAGAACTGGAAACAGAAGACTGCAGCTACCTGCTGTTCTGGGTCAACCACTACTATCCACTGTGAGTCCCTGCTGACAGAAACAGCACAGTTCTCTTGGCCTACTGATGTACAAGCTAGTCTGAAACTGAGAGTGCTGAATCACCTGTGTCCAATCAGCAGCTTTCCAGATGAGTTTTATTCTTAGCTGTAATTTTTTTTCTCATTTCGGTGAAATCCTAAAGCATCCGTGGCTGCTGGTAAGACTTCATACGTGTACAATAAGTGTGTCCTTAGTTGCTTCTGATCTTTGAGTTTCCACCATCTGTTCGTCTCCACAGTTCCAGATGGACGAGGTGAATCTTTCTTTGTTTCTGTTGCCATGGGTTAAACTGTTGCTAAAACTTTCAGAGCTGGGCTGTAAATTATTTTTAGTGTTTGTTACAGAATCTGGGCAGATCCAGTCTGCTGAGAGATGATGGTTTAGGAGTGGTGCTGAGCTGTCTGACTGCTGCAGTGGCACCTGGCTGCAAACCAGAATGAAAATAATTGATTGAAGCTCCTCGGGGATTGTTCCCCTTTCTCAACTGGCATGCAAAAAAACCCAAAACAGCATTAATAGCTACTAAAAAAATTGATATGGATCGAACTCTTGTCTTAAGAATTTGACAAATACAACATGGGATCAGGGATGTAATTTACATGTTACAGCAGGAAAGAAGCAGACTGAAAAGAAAACAGAAAGATCTGCTTGAATCAAATACAAGGAATAGATAAGAGGCATTTAAAAGTATAATATTTTACAATGAGTAAATGAAGTCCAGAAATTCAGCTCGAGTCAGTTCTTTAAAACATAATTATAGGTAGGTATAAATGTATATAATAAATAATGTACATATTTTTATAAGTATAGAGTGTTTTATATACACATTTTTTTGCAGTATGTGTTACAAACACACACATTACAGTATGCAATATACAGTAGAGAACAAAAGTTTACATACACTTGTAAAGACTATTTATATCAGGGGTGTCCAATCCTGGTCCTCGAGGGCCGCAATCCTGCAAGTTTCCTTCTTCCAACACACCTGATTCAAATGATCAGGATCGTTATCATGCTTCTGCAGAGCTTGATGATGAGCTGATCATCATTCCATCATAGAAAATGAAGAGTTGTAGGAGTCACTGGAAAATCAAGAGTGTTACATAGTCTTTACAAGTGTATGTAAGCTTTTGTTTACTACTGTAGCATTATATAATAAAAATACAATAAACGACAGCAGTGTAGGTTGTAGTATTGCGGCACCGGTTATAGAAGAAAGCATTAAAGATGCATGTGTTCGTAATGTCTCTTCTACTCATTCCACTGCATCTACATTTGTTTCTCTACACAATAGCAAAGTTTAAATCCCCCTGACCAAAGGATAATAGTCTGATACACAGCTTTCATTTTAAATTTGTAGTTCAGAGTTTTAGAGTTCTGGAATCCGTCTGAGCTAAACAAAGTTTAGTTCTTTCACTGACTCACTGCTGGTTTCACAATTGTGTATGTGTGTTGTAATTCTTGCCAGTGAAATACTGAAACATGAAGAACTGGATGGACAGATAAAGACAGCCTGTCTGGGTTCTCTGCTGCTGAAGGGCGACCTGAACCGGCTGGAGGAGCAGTACCTGGTCCACAAAGAGGTAAAAACCAGCAGAACTCTGCTCAGGAGGAGAAAAGTCTCTACAGGATACTAATAAACACTCCTCACCTCTCTTTCTGCCATCAGCTCATTTAGATGTTCAGATTCTCAAACATATGATACCATCTGAAATAACGCTGTGGTTCTCTGTGAGAGGGTGGCAACACAGTCATCATAATCATGATTCTGGCCTCTTTGCCTACAGTTTAGTTCTGAAGTATGTTTTCATTGCCCACAATACAACCATGGCAGTAGCAGCCCTGGGTTGTACAATAGATGTGTTTGGAGAAATGAAAGCGCCAGTAAAGTGAAACATCCTCCTTCTGCTGTTTTCCTTCCCTCAGGACAAAGTGAAGCTATGGCTGAACACAGCTCTGAAGAAGGAAAAGGAGAGCTGGCTGAGCGGCAGAGCACCTGAACTCATCGACTGTTACTACTTCAGTCCACTGGCTGTGGACGTCATACAGGTGAGACGCGCTTCAGTTGGAGCCAGTGGTTCTGTGATGTTTCGTTGAGAAGTTATTCAGCATTAAACAGAAGAGTGTTGTGGTGTTTGTGTCTCCAGGTGACAGACGGCTGCCTGACTGAGTTCAACTGTGCAATCAAAGACCAGAGCAAAACTCAGAGGCTCACAGCTCACCTGGAGAACTTCCTCTGCAGGTAGACCACACCCACCACAGGACAATAGTAGGCTTAGTTTGTATGAATCATCTATGATGTAAAAGAAATGTTTTCACCTTGAGAATCTGAGTGTGTGTCGTTATCGCAAAATGTGGTCCTACAGACACCTGCTGTACCAGGAACTGCCACAAAGGTAGTTTTCAGTACTGTGGCAGGTATTTATCTGTCTATGAACAGATTTTATCAACACAATAGCGTCTCAACCATTAGAAATGCAGTAACTTTCCAGGTGTGTAGTTGAGATCAAAATAGTCTCACTTTGCCAGCCCATGCTGTAGAACAAAATGATCTGGCAGCACCACACTGCTAGTCTGCTATTGGAAAAAATGCTCTGGCGTGTTTGTATTTATTTAAACCAAACACTACGTGAAGAATGCGGCTTTGGTGTTCTCTCAAAATAGTGATGGCTAGAATTACTGTGGTGGAGCAGTTGCATGCAGGGAGACGAGCACTGTGATTAAAAATGGATAATGATAAAGATGCCTTACTACACCATCCAAATCCTCCACAAAACATTCAGTTTCAGTTTAGTTTTCACTGTGGTAGGTTGCTGCCTGGAGCTTCTTGTTGTTGTTTCTGTGGTGAACAGAAAACTGTAACACATGAAAAGCTGAAGGCCAATGGCAGGTGTATACCTACAACCTACATCTGGTGAGTCAAACTAAAATCAAAATGAAGGCTGAGTTCAAGGATGGATGTGGTTCGACCCATGACTACTGAGTCCTCATGTAATCATGTAGTAATGATTGCTGAGTACTTGTAGGTGGGAGGCCAGTGTCCTGACAGGAATCACAGCTGGTGTGATCCCATTGCAAGACGTCTGGAGTTAAAAGCTGAAAACACTTTGTTTAGACAGAGATGGAGAAAAATCCCTGTGTGGGACCCTCAGAGTCGAGTGTTTTTGGAGTGATTTTGCAGTTCTGTTGGCTTTATCAGACCATGACCTTCAGCATGTACTGGGGAAGTTTGCTGCCCAGGTATGAAGCAGCCGGGATGAGAGTCCGCTGAGATCATGGTTCTCTGCCGGTAATAGGTGGATTGCATTTTCTGGGTTGGGGTTGTGTTGACGCCCAAAGTAAAGGAGTTTAAGGAGTTTAAGTATCTTGAGATCTTGTTCACAAGTGATGGGAAAATGAAGCATGAGATGGATGGACAGATTGATGCAGCATCAGTGTTGCACCAGACTGTCGTTGTGATGATTGACTAGTTGAGTTGGTCTATGTTCCAACACTCGCTTTGAATGGAGGCATTTCCAGGCCTGCTCTTTGATCTGAATAAATGCAGTTATAAAATGATCTAGCTGTTAAGCTCAGATGTGTGTGTGTGTGTGTGTGTGTGTGTGTGTGTGTGTGGGTGGGTGTGTGTGTGCTACAGCTATAAGAAGTGTGTCGAGGAGTTTGTGAAGGGGAACCACAGTAACGTCCGCTCAGTGATCAAAGCCCAGCTGGTCTGTGAGCAGCAGCTCAGGTGAGATCACACCTGCAACACCTGTCTTCACTCATCAGCGGTTCGGTGCTTTGTTTCAGAAACCTGAGAGTTTATGGGTGTTTTAACATTAATGACTTGTGAGATACGATTAAGGTCTGTGATATGAAGGATGTGTATCTGAACCATGTTTGCCATCATATTCACCTGCTCTGTGGTTAATAGCGACACTTTGGTCATAGAGACGTCAGGTTACAATAAACTGTGCAGACGACATTGTCCTGCAGCAGAGTTTACCTGCAGACAAGTGGATGATCAGCTGCCATTTTGTTGTAAATACATTTATTTACATCCAGTCAAAAACATTTCAGGATGAAGAATCTGACAACAGACTAATTTCTTATGAACATACTGACTGTAGCTTTAACGCTGGAGTATCTGTAACTTTAACCAGCTTCCTGCCCCAAACCATTCTGGGAGCTGTAGGATTTAGGTTCTGCTGCTGATTGGATCCTTTTGCCTGTCCTAAGGGATTACATCACACGTCAAACAGGAAGTCTGTCTGAGGAGCAGAGACGCCGCTGCCTGGACACTCTGTCTGCCCTGAGGGATTGTGGATACCAGTGTTTCACTGGACCTACTCAGGTCCAGCTGAAGGTACAAGTACTGTCTGTACTGATGGCACTGCAGTAACTCACACTGAATCAGTACTACAAAACATGACAGCTCATATTTATAGACGTATTCTTCAGCATCAACACTCATACACTTGTTTTGTTAAACTCTCCTACAGACCTGCAGCACTTTAAGATAGTCCACACAATACAATCATGATGCTGTAACCTTTTCAAACTATTAACAAAAGTAAACATTTCTAAATTGTAGCAGTCATTTACAGTGTGAGTGAACCCTCCCAAACCCAGATCAGTCAACACTGTAGTTACTAATCACAGTCACATGTTTGTAGTTATTGCAGCCTAGTTGCTGCACACATCTGTGGCACTCCACTGTTGTGCGGTTGAGCATGGATAGACAGATGAGGTGTATCTATAGTTTTTGTGGATTGTTTTAGTTGAAGTGGTACTTGTTCTGGACAAACAGATGACTTTTCAAGCCTCCATCTGCTTTTTGAAGTTGTAGCTCCTCTTTGCCCTCTCAGCAGCCGTGGCCACAGAAGCTGAAGGCCGATGTTTGAGACCTTCTGGCTTCACAAGCTGCAAATTTGTCCTACAAAACTGCTTGTGTGTTTGTAGCAGTAGGGTCAAGGCAGCTGTATAAACACCACAGTTATCTGTAGTTTTTAAGTTTTGAACCAATGATCAGGGTCTCCTCGCAGGATGGGAATATAAATCAGAGTCTCATCTGCATAAAAACTTACATTCACATGGATTCATGGAGGATGTTAATAAGTTCGACCATGTAAAATGAAAAAGATGAGGGGTCGTCATCTACAGCCCTGTGGCGCACCAATATTCACATTTCACTAGAATATGAAGCAGAGAAGATAGATAAACCTGAATGTCTTTCTTATATCCATGCTCTTGATCTGCTTTTAGATTATCTGATTGATGAACAGCACAGAAACTAACTCCTCCTCATCATCATCATCAGTTTCATGTTAGTTTTCATCTACAGAACTGTTGTCATCAAAAACCTACAACATCAAAGAAAATGCTCCTCTGAGCTGATACTGTAACCACCTATCATCATATTACTGTGACAATAAGTCAAACAGACAAACTTCTGTATCACTGCGTCAGAGTTAATGTGTTGTGTCTCTGTTCCAACAACACTACCTTCTATAATGTTTGGATAAACATGTTGGAAACAGTCATTTTTATCATTTTCACATCAGAACTTGTTAAAACAGTTTTGAGAGTTTCACATTTACAACAAACTAAGATTCATTTTGTCAAAGCCACATCTAGTTTTTGTTTTTTACAAATGAAAAGGTACGTTTGAGTCAGCTGTGGACGGCAACCTGGGTGGATGGCTCACTTCCAGTTGTTGACTCGCTACTGGACTCTCTGAACCAACAACTGGCCGACCTGATCGACCTGAAGCCAGCCTGCAGACAGGTGAGACGCCATCCTACCGGATATGTATGTCTGCACACCTGTCTGCACATCTGTCTGTCTGACCCATCTGTGTCTCTGCAGTCTCTGCTGTGCGCCCTCCATCAGGACGTGGTCCTTAAGTATGTGAAGAGGATGTTACAGAGCAGGATGAAAAGCAGAGAGCAGCAAGTGGCCGGAGCTCAGCGGATGATCGAAGACTCTCAAAAGATTGACAGGTTCTTCAGAGATGAGGTGAGACATATGCGTGTTCGGACATGTGCACACTCAGCATCAGTGTTGTTAAAGTTATAATCTTTAACCCCCTGAACCTCAAAACCAGCTTGCATTAGACCATTCGACTTTATTTGATGAGCAGTGAGCCAAACTCAAAATACCTGTCAACAGGTGCCGAAGTCTGATTGAGAGTTAAAGAAAACAAATGATTGCAGTGATTGGCTCAAAGGGTTGTTCAACAAAATATTAGTTTACAGGTCCCATCATGCTTGTTTGCTTGTTTTTGTTGTTGTTGTTGTTTTTTTTTTTAATATTTCTGTTGAACCACAATTCAAAAGCAATGTCATGATTATCATGAAATTTTTATTTATTATTACTTTTGTCACTTTCAACTTATTTCAGTGACTGAAGCTGTTTTTTTCCTTCTTTAATGGGAGGGCATGAATAACTGAGGACAACTGTGTGTATATATATATATATCTCAACGCTTTACCATTTTGAACAGGAGTGAGGAATTTCAAACAGCAATCACCTTTTTATACCCAAATTTGATCCAGCTCACTGGGCTTCTCTGAGAAGTCAGAAATTAATCAAGCATACCGTTCAACCATTATAACAAATGTTTCGGTTCAGGAGTACAAGTAATTAACTGGAATTTGACATCTTAATCAAGAAATAATGATTTGGTTTATTATTTTTTTAGTTTTTTTGTGAAACAGTAAATTTGAAAATTCATGGATAACAACAATCATTATATTTTCCTATTAAAACTGTCTTTTTGGTTGAAGTGCTTCTACATACTAGTGTATTAACCACTGCAGAAACATAATAAAAGATTTTGACAGTTACCCATACTGTTAATTTAGGGCAGCTGTGGCATAAACATTACACTGGGTGGTGGTCTAATACGTTTGTTAAGCACTGTATGTGTGTAGATCCACATTTTTTCCCAGCATTAGTAGTTGTACAATAAATAATCAAAGAAATGTAACTTTAGGTTTCTTTTTATGATGATTGTTATTATTTATTGCAACTTTTCTTCTACTGCATGAAAGACATTTTTGATTCCTCTTTGTTTCTAGCCAAGATGGCATTGTTTTCTATCAGGTGGAGGAGTTTATATTGTAAAAATCAAAAAGTGAAAATGTGACCGAGGCAAAAAAACAAAAAAGAAAAAAACACCCAGAAACTGTTTGGGATTCAGAGGATAAGTGAGGTTTGAATGAAGTATTACAGTATAACTTTAGTAGTAAAGGAGCAACTCTGCATAATGAGCACTTTTGTTTCCGATACTGTAAGCACTTAATGAACACCTGTACTTGTAGTGAAGGATTTACTGATGATATGTGTGTGTCAGGGCGGCAGCGAGGCCTCGTGGCTCGGGGTGATGCTCTGCCGTCTCGCTGAGATTCTCAGTCTGCAGGATCCTGCAAGTGTTCAACTGGAGCTCGTCAGTCTGGCCCGGACCTTCCCCGACCTCAGGTACCGGGGAGGGGCGAGGAGGGGAGGGAAGGGGTGGAATGGAGTCAAGGTGCAAAAAGAAAAGACAGAGTTACCCTTAAACCCCACAATCTCATTCAGTGTGACAGTAATCCTCAGTATTTCCTCCAACCTGCAGACTCTCAGGAACAGAAAGAAAGAGCTGCTGAGTCACTGCTCATTCATCGCTGTTACTCACCAACAGAGCCGCCTCATTGGATGCCTGCTGGTGACATCATCTGCTTTGCATTCACATCACGAAGTCACTTTGTTTCCAGTTTTTCCACAAAAAGAGGAAAAAGGCAGATTAGGAGGCAACACAGTAGAGTTTTCTGTCTCTTTCAACAGGTTTGGAGTATTATTAGACAATGATTTTACACATGAAATCTGACAATTATAATATAAAACAGAACTAAAACAATCAGACCGAGCAGGTGGAGCTCATGTCTCTGTTTCATGACTTTGTCAGGGTTTGTCAGAGTTTGAAGGATAAAGTTAAATCAGTTGTTACCACAGGTTTAGATTTAGACTTTAGTTTATGAGTGCATTTTTATGTTTCATGCGTAAATTGACGTCTAAATGAAAGAATGTTGTTTCAGAGAAGGTGAGAAGAGATGCTGCAGCAATGGATTTTACTGGAAAATAATGTATTTTTCAACATGAACGCATGTACACATATTCTAATAGACCCCCCAAAAAAGACTCTATGTAATATGTCTCGCTTGTGTCTGCTCGCCTTGCTTGTGTTTCTGTGTCCTGTGTGGGGTTCTGTGCATTTCAGGTCAGTTTTTGTTCTCATATACAAATGCTGACGCTGTGATCTGTGTGAGAGACACCTGGTTGCCATGGGAGACGACAGGTGTGGCTGGATGAGGTTCAGGTGTCATAGGTGTGTGAAGAGAATGGAAAAACACTGAGCGGAGTCGTGTTATAAAGAACTGTCTGACTCATCTTCGTCAGATGCCTTAAAAAAAACTCTCAGTGCTGAAGTGTCTTTGTGTCACCGTGCAGAGATCCGATCTTCATCTTTGTCCCATGAGGTTTGGTGCAGCGTGGATCAAGTTACTGAGTGACGGTGAAAGATTTGCAGAAAGTGAAGAAATATTCAGTCCCTCCTGATTTATTTTCTCATCAGACTGTGTGTTGCTTTACTGATTTCTACTATTCTCTAACATACATAAGATAAGAGGTTTTCTGGTATTGAGTTGTTTTGTCTCCGTGTTTGTTTTTGAATAATATATAAGGATTTACATTCAGCAGAACATATCTGTGAATTAAGCTCATGTTAAAGTCAGTCACTGATTTTAAATGTCACATTTCCTGGTTCCCTTGCTGCTTTTCCACCAGTGAACCAGATTTCAGGTTCAAGTGCTGAGGCTTTATGTCCACATGATGCTCTCAGCTGTGATAAAAATAGAAGGAGGATAGAAGAAACTTTTGTTAACTGCAAAATAACAGCAGCTCGAAGGCAAACTTTTAATTTCACACATTTAAAAGACCCCCTGTAAATTGCTAACACATTGCAGATTTTTATATCGTGCATCGTTTGACTTAATGAGCAACTTGTTTCACATACAAAGAATCTGTAGTCATCAATAGTCTGAATGGACTTAAAGAGTTTCTTAAATTGTTAAAATATTTTCATTCAGTGTGCAATCAGATCTGCTCACATTACATCCATTACATTATTTTCCTGTTTAACAGGTTAAAGTCTTGTAATAGTTTCTTGGGAACATTATGTTTTTCCACTGAACTTCATCAGGTGTCAAATTCACAACATGAATCTACATGTTAATACCTGAGCCGCAGGCAGCAGCAGCAGCCAGACAGGAGGAGGGACCAAATCTCAGAGTGCAGTCTTCTTTTAGAGATGCTTCCTGTGCATATTATTTCAATCTTGATGGAACTTTGAGTCCATATTCTGGTTCGGTGACTAGTTTTCTTGATGGTTAGTGATGATCCATCTGATGATGATGTACTGTTGTATGTTGACAACACGGCTTTGTATTTATCAGTCAAACAGGCCAATTTCAGCAAACTGTCTGGTTTAAAGGACTGACTGTGAGTGATTTAAATGAAGATAATCAGAAGTGCTTATTATTTATCCTAGAATTTAAAGCAGTGTACTGAGCCTGTACTCTGGACTTTTCACCATATAAACACAAGATTATTAATTATCAGGCTCTGCTTGATGAAGTTCATCTCTAAATCGTTGTGTCCACTCACAAATTGGTGGTCTACAGAAAAGTTGAATTCAAACGAAGGGAGACGGAGCCCCAGTTTATCATTAAATGTTTGTTTGATGTCTTCACTGTCAAAGGGTTTGGTGCTTGTTCTGAGGTCAGTTTGCAACTTTAGTTTTGAAATAAATCATGACTTCCTTTAAATTCTGCTTACATGTTGTGTGACATTATTTACATTTACTGCAACACTGACTTACCATTTACAGGCACTGACTGTGTTGTACTCTGCTGATTTGGATCAATATATCCTATCCCATATTCCATCAATCTCATTTGTAATAATTATTAATGTTAATGTGACTGTCTCAGGTGTGTTGAGAATTGGTTCCCCTTTTTGACTAGTTGTTTCCTGCACATCTGTCTGCCACCTGTGTATTAGGCAGCATTCAGTTTGATCATAACATAAACATATCAGTCACAACTATTCCACAAAAATCAATCATTGGTTTAACATTTGTTTGGTTAATCATTCAAATTGATCACTCCTCTATATCTTCTGTCTGCAGTGATGCTCACGTGTCGGCGCTGCTGTCTCTGAAAACCGGCCTATCAGCTGCTGACGTTCGCTCTATCAGGCGGAGCGTGGAGGAGAACCGCCTCCTCGATGTCTCCACCAATAACAATCCTCCGTTCTTCTCCAAGGTGAAAGTCAAATGGATCAGTAAAAAAATCAATCAAATGGTCCTTAAACCTTAAATGGTTTTAGGATGTTAGCGGCTTTGCATGTCAGTGAGGTAGCATGTTAGCAAACTGACTGTGTATTCAGTTAGTACACAGTGTTTTGCTGTGTGTGATTCTTGTACTTGCCACGTTGCGTTACTGCTTTATTATGGTACTAAAATTTGTATTATCAAATGTGTTGCAATGGTTACAGGTGGCCATACTGAAGTAAAGACAACATAATAAACTTTTATCAAAATGCTGAAAATCTCATATAAAGGCCTGTGCACCTCAGATTAAAACCCAGTCCAGTGTTAGATCCAGTCTGGGGTTCCTCAGGGTGAAGGCCTGGGTCCTCTTTAGTTTACATTGTGAATGCTTTTCTTTGAGAAACTAATAAAATCATAATTTAAGCTTATCTGTCACGTGGAAACCACAACCGCCTTGCGCTGTGTATCGTCATTGGGTAACTCATATCTAGAGTTTTCAGGAAAATCAAACTATATACACCAAATAAATAAACTCAAAGTGCAGGATAAAAGACAGTGGCAGATATTTACAATGTTAGACATATATTATGGTCAAGAGTAAAACACAGTTGTGTAACAAACCTAACAGTTAGTGTGTCAGACTTGTAACGATGGATAAAGCTCTCTGTATTTACAGACACATGTAAGCAGTTGGGCGGCTTATCAGTGTCATTGATCTCTGTTCAATAAATGCTGGATTCAGTGGAGCTGCTATTTTCTTGTGTCTTCTTGCTATTGCTGGGATTATATTTTTCTTCCATGTGTTTGTTTACAGCCAGCACACTCTGTTTAAAACTTTAAAAAAAAAAAAATTATAGCAACCTGCTCAGTTGCAACCTTATTTTTTAGTTTAAATTGTATTTCTATGATTGTGAGCAATGCAGCAGCTGATTCTTCCTGGTTTTACATCCCTGTTTAATGCTTCTTGTAAACATGAATAAATCAGGGTTAATGGCTTCAATTGAAGGAGACACGTGGACCATTAAATCTATAAATACCAATGACCTTATTTAACTCTTTCTTGTTGCTCTGATAAAAATGGATTTTTGGTGGTAAAAGAGAAGATTAGACGAGCTTTAAAATGTCCCAGCTGTCATAAAAGAGAAACAAGGTTGAAACTTGTTTTTTTATGACAGTAACAGGTTTAAAAAAATATTTTCTTCACCAAAATTACATGTGTATTCCATTAACATTAACATCAGAAAAATGAATTTAACCATTCAGGTTTATATATTTAATAATCCAAGAGACTTGCCCAGGTGAAGCTATCAAAGTTCTGAGTTATTCTGCATTGAATTAAAACAGCTCCTCTCTTAGATGAATAAAAGTGTTTCAGGAGTTTTTTTTGCTGCTGCTTTAAATGTGATCACTCATCGTCAGTCAGCAGATTCCTGAACACGCATCAGAATCTCTAACAGTTTCCATCTGAGTGAGTAGGCTGCTCTCCAAACTCTAAACTCCCCAGACTGGTCCTCAACTTCAGCTCAGTGCTGCAGGAAAAAAATCCCCTGCAGGCGGATCAATACGTCTGATCAGATATTGATCACATCAATCTGTAAAACCTGAGAGTAAAGTGTTGTTATTTACAGGAAATAACAGGAGACAGAGAGGTTTTTGTTTAAGGAAGAAACTGTGGAAACAGTGAGTCAGTCCTGCTGTGTTACATTCTGCTGCCCCCTGCTGGTCAAAGGCTGAACTCACTGACATGTTTACTGCTTTAGTACACTTAAACAAATGAAACTCATTTTTCATCATGAATCTTTTGGGTTTTAGAATAAACTAATTTAATAAACACTTCATGCACAATAGTATTTATGTCGAAAGATTGTGGACAAGCAAGCTGATGTGACATCATGAATAAAATTTGAAAAACTATCAAGGTCTGGTTAAAATGAAACATCTGTTCTAAGCACTGGCACTGACATGTTAGCAGCAGTAAAAGTTGAATATGGAGGTTCATGGGGGACATAAGAATATTAATAAAATGTTATTTATCTTTGTGAAAAGAAACAAAAGAACTGAAGCACCTACAGAAAAAAGAAGGGATGAAAGAAATGAGGCAGTTTGTATTTGTTCATGTGTATTTTTATTTTATTTTTTTTTAGATTTTTTCCATCAATGTACACTCAATCACACAAAAAGTGAAAAGAATCATTTTGCCATTTTTGTAAATTTATTATAAACCAAAAATAAAAAGCCTTTATTGCTCCTTTTACAGCAGTTAGAGTTTCCAGTCTTCTTGGGACTCTACACGCTCTGCACAGCTGGATTTTGCTGCGTCAGGTTGGATGGAAGAGTCGGAACTTCCATCTTTAATTCTCTCCACAGATGTTCAGTTGGGTCTAAGTCTGGACTAAGCTGGACCACTCAGGGACAGTCAGAATGTTTGTCCTGATGTGTTTCCGTGGCTGTTTTTTTCGGGTCACTGTGGTGCTGACAGGTAAATCATTGTCCCAGGCTCAGGTCTCTGCACTCCTTCTCCATCTCTTGAGTATTTGGCCGCATACCTCCTTCCCTCAATTTGGATCATTCTCCATGTCTCTGCTGCTGAGCCTGATGCTGCCACCACCATGCTTCACTGTAGGGATGGTGTAAGCAGGTGATGAGCAGAGCCTGCTGTTAAAAACACACAGTGCTTCCCAAAGAGTTCAGTTTGTGCCTCATCAGATCAGTGCCAGAGAGGCTTGTTGATGAATATCATCTGGTTATGTGCGGAAAGTCACTTTTTCCCCCCTTCTTTTGCCTCTGACTTGCTATAGCTGGTTACCTCAGTTGGCTCACGTGGTGAGGTTCCATTTGTTGAAATGCTCACTTTGTAATCTCTTAGCAGCACAGAGAGAACATTCGCTTCCCAAAAGTTGTTTTGTAAACATCAAAACAAATTGACAATCATGCACATGCCAATTTAGAACCACCAGTTAATCAACCATGCATACTTTGACTGTGGGAGGAAACCCAGAGTAAGATGGAGGCGTCAGTGCTAACCACTACATCACTGTCCTGCTTGGTTGTAAACATGTGATTAGAAGTGTCACATTCAGTCTGGAAATCTTTTAATTTGAAAACTGACTGTGTCATTCTGAAGGTTTCTTTAAAAAGAATAATATGTGAATGAAACACAATTTTGCCTCATCTTGAATATTCAATATTCGATTCAAGGCCTTTATTGGTCACGAATACAATTATACACAGTATAAAGTGCAGTGGAATGTATTTTGCAATAAACCTTATATTCACGCATTAGACCTATGTAGGAGCATTAATATCTGCAAACAGCCCTTTTGACAGAGAATGTAAATGCTCTAATGACGGTTCACTCTGGCTGATCTGTCTGCTGCCAATCAGCTGTTCACAGAGACACTATACAGAGACACCACTGCTCCATAGACCTGCAAGGTGACAGAATAAGTGTCCAGTCTTTATGTGAGGCTGGACTAAGAAATAAAGAATCCACTGAAAGTGCACCATCATGTAGCTGTCTTAGCCTGTAGTGTGTGGGCCAGTACTGATAGTAAAGTCTGTATCTCCTCTGTGTGTGATGTTATTCAATAATGATCCCGATTCCCTTAAAGCCAAGCAGGTCATGATAATGTGCAAATACTACTGGCCTTTTTTTTTTCGAGTGAACTAAACATAGAGCACAGTCTGACATGTCACCCTATAACACAGGGTGTTTATCCTTTGCTGGATGGGCTGCTTGAAAAAAAATGGGTCCATAAATGAAAAGTATACCCACTTTTCAAAGCACCACTACATCACTTGAAATAATATTAGTGTGTTTTGTTTATTGTAATAATGTATATAGATTATTATAGTATTATATTAGTATATATTGTTTATTTAGTGTATATATGTCCCTTATTGTTATAAATAAATAAACACACACGCGCACACACCTTATTATTTTAATGTATATATTTTAATACGGTACTCTAGTGGTGTATATCGTATTATTTGTCTCTCTGTATGGTTATTTAGTCTTTCTGTCCAGTCACCCTAGCAACAACAAACGCCGCCGTCCGGCCTGATTAACCAATCACGTCGTACGCTGTCCCTGGTGTCCAATATCGTCAGCGCGCTGGGCTGGGTTAGTCCTCCATCTTGGCTTAGGCTAGCGAAGCTGCTAACGGAGAGTGTCTCCGAAGAGGATGAGGAGAAGCTGAACGGACCGAACTGCAGCCGAGCTGAGCAAATCCGTATTGGCTCACCGAGACGACCCGCGCAAGAGGCCAGTAGGCAGACCCGGACTCGCTCTGGTCCCACAAACACGCACACCCGGTCCTGCCGGGCTGTTGACGGGCTAGCCGGCTAACTTAGCCAGCAAAGAGGAACTGTTGCTCCGGTTCCGTTTGGATCGATGTCGGTTAAAAACTGCCGGAAAAGAAGCAGTGCCGAGCCGAACCGGGCCAGATAACCCTCCAGCCCTGTAGGCAGGACTGGGTCCAGTGATGCCGGGTGGAAACCTGCTCAGGTAAACCCGACCTGAAGTTCAAGGAGCTCCCAGACAGCTCAGACAGGTGTTCCAGGGCGGACAGGCGGCTTCATGACCGAACCTCCCTCGCACTGACCCGGGTAACATGTCCACCAGGACCCCTCTGCCCACTGTCAACGAGCGGGACGCCGAAAATGTAAGTGTGAGCTTCCGCTTTGACTTTTGTTCAATGTTTGTCGCTCCCCTCGGCAAGTGTGTAGTAAAGTTAGATCTTCAGCAACATAATGACGAGCTAAAAACAAGAATTCATCGAGTACACATTGACAAAATCAAGATCCAGATTAACTCACTATCAGGCTTTATGACCAGGTGTAGGCCTTGAAGTGTTTTTTCAGGTTATGAAGAAGATTCCAGGTGTCCTGGAATGTAGTGCACTGTTTCTATTGTAGGTCCCCACAGTCCTGAGGACCACCGAGGAGGGTGATAGCATCCTTAGGGAGGTTCCACGTGTTCTCAAGGAGGTTTTGGATCAAAAGTTTATTAACTCTCTCACAGTGAAAGGCTCAGAGGCTTTGGAAGGTTTTTGAGTGAATTCCATTTTCACTGATAAGACACAGGGACATTAAAGGAATTCATCCTGGTGTATTATATATCATTGCCTTGGATTTTCAAGGACTACTAAGACAGATCCAGTCGTTCTCATGAAAGTTCCCGGTAATCTTGGTAAGGTATCAAGGCATCTAAAAAGGTTCCACACAACAGATTTCAGTGGCCCTTTCAGTAGCTCCAATAATCCTTGAGAAGGTTTGTAGGGTCATTTGTAGAGATCAGCTTTCCCAGGAAGTTATTACAGTGGCTCCAGATGGTAGATTTGCTGTGAAAACTCTAAGAATCCGATGGGTGGGTCCAGGCATCTTTAAGGATGCTTCAAATACTCTTGAAAAATTTTGAGGGCAGCTCAAAGTTTGTTTTAGCTATCCTAGAACTGGCTCCAACGAATGTTTAGAAAACTCAAATAGATCTTGAGAGGATTACAGGCACAGGCATTTTTGAAGAGGTTCTAGGTGGTCTTGATATGTTCTGAGAATCTTTAAGAGGCTTTCAGGAGTCATGGAGGACAGGTTCAAACTGTGTTGAGAAGTTCTTCAGGGTCACTGGGAACGTCTGAGAGGTGTTGTGATTTTACTCATCCTGGAAGATGTTGTGATCGTCCTTTAGTCTATCCCAGGGGGTCTGTGATGGCAATTGAAATATTACTAGCTCAAGTCTTGGCGTTGTTG